TGTGGATACTAGTATTATAGCATCAGTTTTTGATGGATATAGTTTCAAAACGCTTTAAGCATATTCGTGATGAAGAATTATAAAGAAAAAAAAAGAGAAAACAACATGTAATATTCGGAATGTGCCGTGTAGAAGATGTGTTATATCGTGGACCAAGTATTTTATGATAGCGAATCTACACTTTGTGTCTCAAGGTCAACAATGACCCATTTGATTATTCTTCATTAGTTTATTTTCTGTAATAGCTCAACTGGACGTTTCATACTCCATGTCACCTTCCAGAGTGGATGAAGAATTTCCATCACCTTTCTGTTGGAGAACTTTAGAGTTCAATAGAGCTGAAGGTGCTGTTTTCAAAGCTGATGCTTTTTATTTGCAGTGGGTAAGACCATAAGAAAGATGCGAAGCAGTCTTCGAAGGCCTCAAAAAACAGATTTTGACCTGAACACTCTGAAATCCTATTTGGATTCGTTGAAAAACGTTTTATTTCATACAGAGTGTTTTTTTTTGTAGAGACCTGTAGGAAGGTCCTGGACATTCAAAGCCTTCTCTGTAGATATATTCGAAAAATGTTCTACTTGGGTGAAACTTACGCATAATGATTTTTACAGTGGACAATAGTTATAGTTTTGTACGCGTGTTCCAGCGAGCTTTTTTATTCAAACATCTGGTTCGATATTATTTTTCTGATCGTATCATACCATTTGTAACTTAAAACTTGATGCCCAATGCATCGCTTTTATCTCAACTGCCATACTTGTCAGCCAATTTTACTTTGCTTTTGAATTATAAAGATCAGTTTTAGTATAAAAAACATTGTTTGAGTTCAAAAGAAAGTAATGTTCGTTAATTAGTGTGAAACTAGGACTATTGATGGCTTGTAAATTATTTCTGCAGGCTTTGGCTTCAGTTACATGTTCAGGCTTGGCCTTCAGAGATATCTGCAAAAATGAATTCCAACCAAAAACTATTTTGACAGTGTAATTACCATTTGGGACATAAACAACGGTTCTTCGATACCCTTCTAAATAGAACCGGTATTTCATCTGGCAGCACATTACCGAATCCCAGCTCCTTTATATCATAAAACTTCACTCAAACTGTAAACGAAGTATCGATGACTCATAAGCACTTCCGGATTTTAAAATGATAGCCCTTTAGGGCGTTCCTATAATCCGACCCACTACTCTTAATAACCACCAACATCTACTGCATCTTTCCTTACTATCGTGCTTTGCGTTTTCACCTGTCCCATTGCTTTCAGAGATCGCACTAACACATTCGGCCCAGTAATCGCGTAACAACCAGAAGACCACTGACATCGATGGTCTCCTGCGAACAAATATCCCGTCATCAACAACGTACCAACACTTCCAATAATATCGTACACAATGCGCCGATAACTACAGGACCACGCACATAAAAGACGACTCTTCCCGAAGCACTTCGCTACCCAAGCATACTTCCGCATAGTGGTCTTTCAGAATCCAAGGATACATCTTAGAGTGTCACATCAGTACCCAAGAGTATGTCGCTATAGCAGCACTTGAGAACCAGAAGGCATCCCCATCTCGTGCCACTTGAGAATCCAAGAGTACCCCCTAATAGTAGGACTTGTGGACTCAAGGGTACTCCCCAAAAGTAGGACTTGAGGACCTAAGGGTACCTCCAATAGTAGGACTTGAGGACCCAAGAGAACCCTCTAATAGTAGGATTTGAAGACCCAAGGGAATCCCCCAATAGTAGGACTTGAAGACTCTAAGCTACTGGCTTGATGATGGTAGACATTCACTTTATCGTTCCCAGATCGTCATCCGAGAACAATAATCTCCCACCCCTAGCTCTAAGACTATGACAAGCTACCGTAAAAACATGAGCCAAATCATCGATTTTGAAACTTCAATCTCCTTTCATCTTTATCATATGGATAATTGCTGAAGCAGTTCTTTGGATGCATGAGGAATCATGAAATCAATCTTAACTTTACCTAAGTTTCGGCTCAGAATACAGTATTTCTGGAGATAGTTCACTTTTAGGATTTTTGCAAATCCTCAAACTTTGGATCAATTACTCTACTATTTGAGATTGGTTGGTATAAAGTTGGCAACTCTTTTGCTTATGCATGACATCCGATTCTTTTTACAAGCTGACTAAAAATGACTGCAAGGAAAACTAAACCCGAACTCGACCTTCGAGACCGAACCCGAACCCGAACGTTCGGGTTTCGGTGCATGCCTAGGTGTGGGTGTCACTGTGGGTGTGGATGTGGAGTGTGGCTGCTAGTATAAATGAATTATCCACGCATCCTTTATTTTTAGCATATTAAACATTTTCATATATAACCAACGGCATCTGTACTTCATATAGAACCAGATGAAAAACGAATTAATCATCCATTATATAAAATCTATAATAATGCTTCCGAAACATCATCAATAATAAGTTCAGGTAATGATAATGGATATCATGTAATTAATCAAGAATATATTGAAGATGATTTTATTCAATCATCATCAACATTAAATAATCAAAATGAAACAACTGAATATATATACAAATGTTCACTATGTGATTATCAATCAAATATAACATTAAATTGGGCGTGGATGTGTGTGGGGTGTGGGTGTTAGTATGAATGAATTAGCCACATCTCACACCCCTACATCCACACGCAACTTCCGCAGCCACGCCCACATCTCACATCCACACCCTACACTCACACCCACCGCACCCACATTCACACCCACGCACGCCCACACCACACACTCACATCCAACGCATGCCCACCTCACACTCACACCCACACCTACATCTGCAAATTTGCTATCTCACACTCTTAGACAAGCCTGACAATCTAGTTTTCCACTATCTTTCGATTTCCACTAATCGGGGATGAAAACGTTTGAAGAGTGTATGACTACGAATCATGAAAGAAAGGAAATATCCACATTAAGCATGGCACGTCCTAAAAAATTCACACTATGTTTGACAGATTTTGAAAAATTTTGAGAGTTAAACTCCTCTAGACCAGATTACTGGTCGCGCCACTAAAACGAAGTTTATTAGTCTGAATAAACAATTTTATAGTCGTGTACGTCAGTCAATTTGAGAATCAATAGCATTATCAATATGAATAGGTACTGTTGTTTTTTTATTCAGTGCTTCATATCGATCACATTGATTTTCTTTTCTTGCTGGTCCCCAATCATCCTGTGGTTGACTTGCATATGTTAACATTCGTAAGTAATGTGGCATATAAATCGAAATCTTAAGAAAAAAGTCAATAATAAAAATAATGGAAATAATATTCTTACTTGATTTTGATAATTCTTTGTTGCTTTCCATGCTTTAATAAGTTCATGGATCATAATAATAGGTATAAATATAAGCGATGCACAAACAAAAAGCCAACCGATAGCATTTGCATATGGTGGATATACATAATTTCCTTCCTTTGGTGGTTGAAATTGTATTAATGATGCAAAGAAAACAATCTAAATAAACACTTAATTTCATTATCAATACAAATTTTTTCATTCTTCACTTACAAGAATGATAATCGGACCTGATATACACCAAGTAATAAACCAATAAGGTTCTAATGGCCGTCTATTCAACATCATACGAATATCTTCCATAAAATTATTAAAACCTATGTAAACAAAATGAAAATATTCGATGTATTTTTTTTTTTTATACTCAACCATATATATAAACAATTACAATAAATTCGAAGAATCCACAAACAAGTACTGATATATTAGCTGAATATTCATTCAGTAATGTCTGCATAAAATAGATTTAGTTTAATTAATAACATGAAAGATATACATACGAATAAATAAATTCCACCCTACCAATAAAAAAAAATGTAAATGAAAATTTTCATATCACTACTTTTTTCTTTCTATTTACCGGTGTGCACATTGGAAGTGCTAATAAAAAGCCAACGATGCAATATCCAATTACAACAAATATTTTATAACGCCGTAGTTTCGTAAAAGTATCTAGTAGACCAGATATTAATACATCACAAAGAGCAAACTGAATATAAAAAAAAAAACATAAATCTTCATTTTATTTTCAAAATAAAAACCTGCGAGTCAAGACCAAGTGTAAGCAGCATAATAAAGAATAAAATTGCCCAAAATACACTAATAGGCATCATTGATAATGCTTGTGGATAAGCAATAAAAGCTAAACCTGGTCCAATTTGAGCTACTTTTTCAACAGGTAAACCCGTTTTGAATGACATAAAACCAAGAACTGAAAAAACAGCAAATCCCGCAAATACCTATTTTCGTTTAAATATAAAAATTGAACTTGCTCAATCAATAACTCACTGAAGTAAAACAATCACAAATTGTAACAACAATACAGTCTCTAAAAAACAAAATCAAACAAAAATTTCTATAAACAACAAATATCAATAATCAACTTAAGATAATTTGATTTGAACTTATTAAAACTAGCATAAGAAAGTATTGGACCGAATGCTACTCCAAGGGAAAAGAAAACTTGAACAGCAGCTGCAATCCAAACCTTAATGTAAAACAACATTAAAATTTCTGAATAATCATTTTCATATTAATAACTCACATTAAATTCAGAAACTTTACTCCAATTTGGTTTTAAATAAAATATAATTCCATCTTTTGCACCTATTTAAAAAAAAACTTATAAGAATCTCGATCAATAAATTTATTAACCTGGTAAAGTTGCACCACGAACAATCAAAGCAATAATTACTACATAAGGAAATAATGCAGTAAAATAAACAACCTGAAAAAGAAAATTGATTAAAAAAAAGCTGTTAGTGCAGTTCCTACAGGATTAAAATGTGAAACACGATCGAGCTGATTACTTTGTAAATGAAGATATACTATAATATCTGTCACAGTCTGAGATGGTTTCTAGCTATCGTCTCTGATGGTCTTTGGCTGGCATCTGTCACGGTCTGTAATGGTCTCTAGCTAGCGTCTGTCATGGCCTGTGGAGGAGTGGACCCAAATTTCTGCATATATACGGTTCAACACTCCCTTTAGATTGTGTTTCACAAAAAAATATTCAAATTTATTTAGCATTTACTTTGCCAGTTGATTTAATGCCTTTAACAAGACAAAGAGCAACAGCTATCCATGCTAATAGTAAGCATAGTGTAAGAGACCAAATTGGAGAACCAATTTCTTCCAATGAATCACTTCTTCGCAAAACATAATTACTATCAATACATTTCATTCATGTTAAAATAAAATTACTATTTGAAAGATCTTACTTAAAATATTCTTCAGGTGAAAATACAGGTGATGAACAATTATTTGATTGATTAGTAGCAAGACAGAGAAAATTTTCTGTTGAGTTAGACGATCCATCTAATAATATAAATATAATTTTATAAAACTTCTTTCTTTTGAATACAACCTGCATTTAAACAACGTCCTGTATTCCACCAATTTCCACAATAACTCCATGGAAGTGTTCGTCGCATTGAAGCAAAAAGATAAAATAGACACCAAGCAATAATTACATTATAATAAAGTGAAACAAAAAAAGCATTAATTGCCGTTGCCCAACCAACTCCTAATATAAAATATATATTATCTTCTCATAAATCAATATCAAATATTTTCATTATACCTTTGAACATACGTGACATTGTAAAAGCAGCCGTTGTACTACGACTAGTAAATTGACCAAGTGATAATTCAAGAAAATAAAGTGGTGTTCCAACAAGAAAATATATACAAAAATATGGTATAAGAAAAGCACCTATATCAATAAAACATGTATAATAGACAAAATAGTTATCATATATTCTTACCACCCCCATTTTTAAATGCTACAAAAAAAATGAAATAAAAAATTGAATGATTATTATATATACAGTAGTCGCAAAAAGTCCTGCTACCATGTAAAAGGCACCTAGACTTTCATCATTTCACCACAAATAGAGCATGTTAAATTGTGATCTCAAGAATCAATCAGGACTTGATCGATCTTCATGCGGAAAAGCTAGAAGATCGACATATTTTTTTCTTCAAACGAAGATATTTCAGCATAGGAAACAAATCTCATGGCGTTAGACCTCTCATTCAAGAGCTCCGTGCTATAAAAATTCCATGTCAAACGGTTTTTTAGTTGATTAATCCTTGGATAGTCTCGACATAAGAATTGATGGGATTTGTCGAAAAGTGTTTCATAACTCCGACTAATTTTAACCATTTGCTTTGAAATTTTCTCCAGTAAATGTTCTGTTCTAATCAAGTTTTCTCTGAAAATTTCACAGTTGCAGCTATTAATCGAGAGGAGATTCACGGTAAGATTGCCTCTGACAATAGAGGCTTCTCCGTGCCTCAGGATTACAGTGGATTAGACTGCTCTAACTGTGAGACAATATAGACACGCGGAACAACATTATTTGTTAATAAGAAAATGGTAGTTAATGCATCAAAATAGTGGAGAACCAGAAAAATGTCGAAAAATCCTTTTTTTGACTTCAGAAAAACCTAAGTTTTCATCCTAAATCCGTTGCATTAAGGCCCATCGAAACTTTTTTTTTCTAGATTTATTGAGATTTTTTAATAAATTCCTATGAGGCATTGCACCTAAGGCACGACTAGTTCCTGCAGATCCTTGCTCAATCAATCTCACCAGTTGGGCTGATATTTTTACAGCAGATAGGCCTAACAAAGTTAGAAAGAAAGTGAAAATTTCAGCTCAAATGGATGAGTCATTCTGGAGATATAAACGATACAAGTAGGACGAGGTAGGCTCCATCTGGAATACTTTGCAGACCGATACTTTTCAGTAAATTTTCGTTTTCTAAATAACAACAAGAATTATAAAAGAGATTTTTTTTACCATAGATACCATCGACTATGGGCTATCTTTTGATGGAATTGAAAGTACACTTTCGCCGAATTTTTTCGATTGATATTATATACTATTTTCAGAAAGTGTGTCCACATATATAGAGCAAGTTGGTCCAATTAGCGTAATGGATTAGCTTGAAAATAGTGTCATTTGAAAGAGCACATCAAACTCCGTCGAATATCATTCTCAAAAATTTGTAATATTAAATTTTGGTATAGAAATTTTTTCAACAATATTTTACTTTTTTATGAAAAACCTGCGCCTGAGAAAAATAGTTGTACTGAATATTTTTAATCTTCTATTATTACTTTTGAAAAATTAATTATGCATTCTAATAAAGCATGGAATTCTCTACAATCCTATACATGTACATCTTGAATTTCATTTGTTCATTAAAAATAATTTCGCACAATGAAGGCACTACCATTGTCAGATTTCTCTGAACTGCATTAGTTTTCACTTTTAACATTGCTTTGATTAAAAACATAAGCTATTACAAAAGTGAGCATGTATTCTGATAGCGCGTGAAATCCTGCATCTTTTGATGTATTATACAAAAGGCAAAAGACGTGCACATGTATCTAGTAACGCTCAAAATTGTTGTCCTATGTCACCAAACTGTTAAAAGTCTGTTTGTACTTCGCAGTTTGTATCATTATAGATCAATTTGAGAGTAAAATCAATAGCATATTCGGAATCAGCGCAGAAAACTACATTAGATAAGATATTTTTGGCAAAAAGCTCTTTGCGGGCAATTCACCGGGAGGTAAGCCCGTCGGATCCTACCCGGACCGCGAACCCGGTCGGGTCTAGGTCCCGGTTAGGCATACAGTGAGCCAGAACTGAAGTTCGAGATTCGGGCCGAACGATTCAGGCTCAGGTTCGGTGGTATACAGGTCAATCAGTTTGTCTTTTTAACCATGAGATAAGATGTTATTTATAATGTTTTGCCTCGCACAGAATTACACTAATCTCAATAAGTCCCAGGATGTGAGAAACTGTGCACAGTCTCGACCATTCTCCATGAAATTTTTATCAGCGATGCAACTGCAAAAAATATAATCCCAAGCACCAACCAGAGCTCGATCGACTGAGATGGGACAGAGTAACAATGTAAACACTACTTCTACTTAGAATTATCGCTAAATGCGTATTTGAAGAATTTTTCAGCTACTTTCAGACTATATGTTGAAGATTGATTTTTTCACACTTTTACAAACATAACGATCAAAAGAGGCATCCAGCAGCTCAATAGCTTTTCAAGAGAACTCTGTTAGAAACCCGAGAAAATAAACCGTCAACCAGCCAATGGTCCTTTTTTATCTCGAAACTGAATATCGAAGAAACAAACGCACCAATTCTTTCCAACGAACGGTGATCAACAGGATCGTAGAACATTGGAGTATTCTCCAAGATGAGAGATTAAAGTCCGAAGGCGAACGCGATTGTCAAGCTCGAGTAACATTGGCCCTCACCAACCCTCACCCTCACATCGTCACCCCATCCTGAATTCCTCACACTCTCACCCTCAAGATACTCACACTCCATCGTCACCCCTAAGAGGACCTAAGGGGATATAAGGAGGTGCAATGGATCTAAGGGGATCAGTGGCGTAGCCGGGAATTTTTGAGTAATGAGCGATTTCCCAGCCAAAATGTTTCGAGGGTTGGGCAGCCATGGGGAACTCGAAAGACAAATGGGCTTCAATTGTTCAAAGCTTCTTATCTTTTCCAACTCTGATATTTGTTGCAGAAAAAAGTCAACAACCTTCAACCAACAGACGAGCGTGTTTGGTGTCTTTGTACTATACTTTACAAAGGTATTTTCCGACTTTAAAGTTCCTTATCATTTTTTTTTGTGTAAAAACTATCACGATAAGCATATCTTTTTCTTTATTGAGTAACGCAGGTCGGTACCTGGATTCGAAGCCCAATAGGTGTAAGAAATTATTCACTATAGCTGTGAAAGGTTTCTCCGTCAGTTTTTCTCTAGCTAAGTTTTCTGAAAAATGCCATGCAGAGAATTGGTTTTTCATTGTCTTGAAATCTACAGTTTCATGACGAGAGGTTTATCGTTTCAGACTTATGAACTGAGCATCTGTTGCAAAGAACATGTAGTCGAAGGCAGTATCTTGCTAGAAGAGAACAAAATGTTTCAATGACCAAATCTGGAATTCATTAAATGGGAACTCAGGTTGTCGAATATTCACAGTAAAATTAATACACTGGGTTCGATACTAAGCCGCCAAAAGCGGCTACGATTCCATTTTCTCGCCAAAAAATTGAACGTTGATTTAGCGGAGTACAGTCCTTTCTTTTGCTCAACAACGTTTTAAAAAAGTGGAAACATACATTATTTTGAAAACCAACATAAAGAGAAGATTAATCAAACTAAAGAATTCTTGAAAAATCTTATTTGTCGGACGAAAGTTTTTGAAATTTCCAATAAAGCTCAGGGCTCGAAACGGGCCACCTGGCCCAGCGGCCCGGGCCGGGCCAACGAATTTTTTTTGTTGGACCGGGCGGGCCAATCGAGAAAGATCAACGAGCCGGGCAGGCCGACGAGATTGTCGGGCGGTCCGGCCCGACAAGATATTTTTATTAAATTTTATAAATGTCATCAGGTTCAGAAATTATTACAAAATATATATCATGGAAATGTCTATGAAAGTATCATTGGATAGTACAGTAAATCAATAACCTTTTTGTTTATGTAATCTGTTATTTGTTTTCTTACGATTGCTTTCACACGTAATCAACAAAAACTTCTTTCTGTTCGCTGTTTTTTCTTGTGATAAACTTCATTTATTCGTGGAATATGTAAAGCATTAATGAATACCCCTAATCTTTTCTCAGATAAATGTTGATTTTTTTTCATGTGCAATGTGTTTTTTTTTCATTTGTTCTACATCTAGTAGTTTTTTGTAGTACTCGTTAATATCTTCTTTTGTTATTACATTAATGGTCCAATGTCATTAAATTCATCAATAAATTATTGATGTACTCTACGGAAATTTCTTTTGAAATACGACGTTTATTATGATAATCAGTTCTGCAAAAAATATTTTCTAAAAACAATTTTGTTGGGCCTAGGTTGGCCTGGGTCGGGCGGGCCGACAAATTTGATGGGCCAGGCCGGGCCCGGCCGAAACACCGACAAGGTGGGCCTGGTGGGCAGCAAATTTGATGGACTGCTTTGGGTCGGACCGGGCCAGAAAATAGTGGCCCATTTCGAGCCCTGATAAAGCTGTACTTAAATAAACGGTATGCTAAGGTATTTTCATTAAACAGTTTATAGGTCAACTGTTTAAGGACAGCCCCCTACCATCAGTTCCTGAAAGAGGACGAGAGTGAATTCCTAATTATGCTTCCCTCCATTTTTATGTCTCGGCAGTGACATTGAGCTTTACTTTGTCCTGTTTCGTTGGGCAATGGCAAGGGCTACTTCGTATTTGTATGGCTCTAATGTTCAGTTATTCATGAATCCTTCAATCATGAATTACCATTTTATTTGCCGCTTTTGATAATCCCTTACTTCTATTTTCAAAGCACTGTCATTCGTCCATTCGATCGATTTTCATTCAGAATTTCTATGTAGCTCATTGAATTTTTAAACTTTTATGTTGTGATACTCATGTCATCAATTACATTCCCAAAATGTTTAGCTTGAAGTATTGCGTCCGTTGTCATTCGATATATTGATAGTTTGACGTGCTTTGAAAGATCACTAAGCATTGATCCATGTTCTTTTAAAAATACATTTTAGTATAAGAATCAGCGCTTAGAGGAAAATGGCATTGGCATACCATGATTTTGAACATCGTTTAATGGAAAAGACCGTCGAACGATCTTCCTAGGTCAATTGGTTAGGTTACAATATGAGGCATTAGTTTTCTGTCCCGTTCTCAGGAACCCAGAACCCATTGCTGGTTCCATTCCTGAGAATCCGGGAATCCGG